TGTCTTTTATAAGACACTAGCGACCCGCCCCGGCTTCGCACGGGTGCAATATGCATGTATTATACATACAAACCTTCCTTAAGAATCACTCTATCTATTAAAAAAAACCGCATCAAAATCCGTTGCGTAGTTTTAAAGATCTAAGCATACATACGGACATACAGCGAAAGCGACTTTGTTTTATACTATGTATTGATAAGTAACCAATTAATAATAGAGGAGCCCATGAAGGGATTTCGGTAGTTAGGTACTCGAGCGCGTCAGATTAATATATGGGGAAAACCTAGTGTCATGTTGAATATACCCACCATATATCCGATCTGATTAGAAGGGGGGACCAAAATATAAAAAGAAAATCTGACTAAATAAAGTCAGTTTCAATTAAGAGCTCGTACAACATCAGTTAGCAGAGAAGGGGTGTAAAGTGTAAGAGAGAGCGCTAGAGTCAGTGTTTCCTGAAGAGTATAACCTGGGTATCTTCAAGACCCGAGTGAATAGGTTGCTTATGGGACGACGTGACCATCGTAGACCACCAGGCGAGATAGTCACCAAACGTCGGCCCAACAAATATAAAAAAGTGTCTTCTTCTCCTTCAACTGACTGCTGAGGGGTTAAACAAGATCGAAATGTCACTTCATCACTTGCCTTCTGAACTCTGATTGGCCTGTTCCAATGGAACAACCAATCAGAGAGCGATAAAAATTGACGTTTCGGCGTCAAATCAACTCGTAGGTACTAGGCCCTCTGTAACATTGTCTTATTGCTTGTATCTTCGGTAGTCATGAATAACTATATCTGTGCCTATCCTTTCGATGAGTAAACGAGTAAAAGGCGCGGTGTCATGTGTTTTATTTTCAACGAAAGTACATTAGATAATGACAGCTGATAATTGATAAAGGTATCAATGATTGGAGAGTTTTTTTTCCGATTCTGTTACTTAGTAGAAAGTATGATTAATTAGTTGATAATATGATATTATGATGATTATGTAATAGCTGCCCATATCCAAAGTGTTTGAACTCCGTAGTAGGTACGCCTGTATATTTAATACCTTTTTCTTGAATATTTAGGCTATGCCTCTATTAAATGGGAGTCAATATAGGTATAGCTGGTGAAAAGTTAATATCACATTGAATATAATATTATGCACTTCTGCCCACCTCCACCACCGAGGATTAATAGGCGTGACGTTGTATTTTTACAGAAACGCTACAATATTATCTCATACTAGCTTCTGCCAGCGGCTTCGCCCGCGTTCCCGTGGGAAAAAAGTAGTGTGTTCCTATGTGTTCCTCCAGACCATAATCTACTCCGGTTCCAAATAACATCTCGATTCCTTAAGCCGTTTTGACATGAAAGAGTAACAAACAGACAAAAGTTCTTATATAATAACTATCGTGACACATACTAAATCATGAGCAGCGTGCGCGGTCGCAGCGGTGTTGCGCAGTCTACCAGTAGGTAGAACCCCTCTGTGGTTCGAAACTAGTAGAGCTTTTCTCAGTATATTCACGTGAGTAACCCGCGATTTTTAGTTAAAACAGATAAACAAAAAAATTAAATTAAAAGAGAAAGGGAATGCACTCCTACAATAGCTAACTTGTGCACAGTATTCCACTAATGTGTGGCGTGATTGGGCCGACCCTTTAATCTTATCGGCGACTGCTCGGAAACTGATTATAAAAATGACGGCTACTACGAATAGGTACTGACATAACATGCGACTAATCTGTGTACAAATAATAATAATATGTTTAACTATTTATTTATGTAACCATTTCTTTATTGAGAGACTTTTCTGCTGTCGAACATTCATACTTGTGTTTCCGACTTTCTAAATAGATAGATAACCTTAGAAAAATGCCGTCTACCTAAACCCCAGTCTTCGATCAACAATAACAACTAGATAAAGGGTTACGTACAAAATCAAGCTCCAGTTTTGTCCGTGTGAATAATAATAGTAAAAAATAACAAACAGAGATAAATGTTTTAAAATAGTTTTAAGTTCAACCTAATAACAACCATGGCACCTAATTATAAAGTCATAAATCGTCAAAATATTATCTAATACTTACGACCATTCGTTACATAAGACAAGAAAAGTATTTTCTTACTCCTGTCATGTAGAAATTAAAAGACATAAGTTAAACAATATCTAGTTTGAATTCAACCTTAAGGTCGAACAAATAAAGATATTTTTTTTCCATTATTGCCTTGCGATCTATATCGTTTTGTTTTGTTTCGTTTTACTTCTTCAAATTTCGAATTTCGCTACAGGAGGTATGTATGGAGTCGCGTTGGACACTAAAATAATTTTATAATATGAAAATTAAGATTTCGGGATCTTAGTATAGAGGTACTTCACTAATTTTTATTAGCGGTACGTTTTTGTGTATGATATGTTTATTTACTTTATCATTAAAAGTCTAAGTCTAAGTCAAAATTATTTATTTCAGTTATACCAGGAAGGCACTTTTGAACGTCAACAATATAAATTTAAAAGTGAAGCTATTTGCTCATTCCAAGGTGTAGATTCCTATGGAGAAGAACGAGCAAGAAACAATACAATATTATTTTTTCAATACAAATCGACTCCATGCATCCACTGTTCTGTTTATACAAATGTTGGCGAGACTTGGCCAAGGAATCGCCAACACACGCACAAACATTGGTGGCGTTGGTTTATAATTGATAATTTGTCTAATTTGATATTATTTACTAGTTTAAAAGCTTAAAATATAACTTATACTTTATGTACTTATCAAAAGTAAGACACTCCGGCCGTTATACGGCTTTTTCGGTTGTTATTTTTGCAACTTGCAATTACTCGTGAGACGTAAGCACGTTGGCCATGTTTGGAGCGAACTAAACAAAATAAGAGCTCACTTCTTAAGTGAGCTCTTATTTGTCGAGACGATTTTCTTGCGCCGACCCGATATCTAGTTGTTATTGTTGATCGAAGACCCCAGTCCACTAGTCCACCAAGCGTGACCTGGTTGAAACAAAAGCTAGACTTTAATGATGTTAGAAAACGGTTAATATGGGTAATAGTAGCCTACGGTATATCTAACTGGCAAGGCGCGTGAGGTAGGTAACGATCCACTTCATGCTGCAGTCATCGCTGTAGACTTGGTTCGCGAGACGATCTCCGGCCACACCGTAAGCACGGGCTTGCGGATGGCGAGCAAGAGTAGCTTGCCACCTGACAAGAACCAGACCCGTGCGTGCAAACATGCGCTCCTCAAAGAGGCATCAGGCCTCTACAGATAGGTCCCAGTAGGGATGATGTCCAATTTGGGCCCGCTTAAGATTTAATTTAATGGGTTGCTAGGGCTCCATAGGCTTCATACGGTTCGAAGAGCAGGACTAAGAGTCTGACACTCCCTCTTGCCCCACCCGACGCGGTAGAAGTGAAGCCCCTCAAAAACAAAAAGAAAGACCTCAGTTAATAACGATAGACTGTTTAAAGATGGATTGATGGATTCCTGTCGATTCCATTGTGGTTATTGGTAATAGTCTTAACAATCTAACGCAAATTGGCGTAAAGTAAGAAGATGCAAGTATTGCTACCATATCATGGCTATAATATCCAATAGGCTAGGCCTATTAAGCATTTTATGAAGGTAAGGCAAAACATTAATAATAATAATGTCACGCACTTGGGTTCAGCCTAGGACAACGCTATATATTATTAACCGCACTTGGCTTCGACCAGTGCTTTTTAAGGACCGCACTATGATGGGAAAAAATTACGTAGATCTTTCTAATTAGCCCAAATATTATATTAACGCGAAAGGAATAGACATTACCAATGCTTTTAATGTTCTTTTATGTATACCACTCTTCCGTTCAGTGACTGATGGCTGAAAGATAACGCACAGCCGATGGATGCTGAAACTTAGCATGTATGTTTCTTGGGGATGGGGAGTGTTAAGGAGACTAAGGTAGGATGTTCCTCAATTCCCACGGCAATCACCTGTTCGTGCGTACGAATTAACTGCCAGAATATGATTAATATTATATTAATATAAATTTTAGTGATACAGGACGCTGAAGCTTATATAGGTAGGCTACATTTTTGACGGGTAGATCTGTGGGTAAAAGCTAGCGTATTCTATCAATAGTTGATCGTTATAGATTTCGCAATGCCGTGATAATATTATTATTTGTGATTGTTTTCGTCTGTATGTTTATTGTGTTTCTTTATGTAAGTGTAACGCTATGCTACACTGGCGCGATATAATTGTTCAATAAAAATATCATAAAAGTGTTGATATTCTATAAATCTATAATCTATAAATGACTGAACGGTTGGCGCGTTGGCTGGGCAACTGGCTGCCCGGACGGAACAACTCTTTGTGTGATCCACAGACAGATTGTTGTTTCGGGTCTGGATGTCATGTTTAATGTGAACTTGTATGTTTGTAAACGCACCCACGACACACGAGAAAATCCTAGTGTGGGCCAAGGTTTTTCTATAAAAAAATATCATGTTATCATAGAGTTAACGACCACAGATCTTCAGAATATATTTTTGATTGAGTTTAACTTAGAGTTTTGGGGATCTCAAAGAGATTGCTATGTTTTCGATTTACTCTCGTAACTGTTTGACGAGTAACTCGACTAGTTTCAAGGTACTCCAGGGGCGCATATTCATGAGGAGTGGTCTGCGACACAATGGTGTAGCGATATCGCACAGCTACTGACTACTGAATACTCGAAAAACATAAATAATTTAGTATGTTTCGCGAAAGTAATTCAATACAAATATCTCAAATAGAGTTTACTCTTGCGAAAGTTTCATTAGTAGGTTTAGGCTAGTGAGCTGTTATTATGTTTAAGCGAATTTCAACTATATGCTATGGCTAATAAATTTCTTATTTCCTATGTAGCTACCTAAAACTGACTAACATGTAAAACTTTTCAAGCGATTGTGGACTATAAACTACGTGGAATAAAGTTATTTTTCTTACATACTGAATCATTGTGTTACTTTACAGGGTGTGACGAATAACATCGTCATGGTGGATACGAATGAAGACAAGCTGAAAGGAGAGATGATGGACTTGCAGCATGGATCCGCCTTTTTATGCAACGCCACAATTAAGGCTGGCACAGGTAATATTACTACAATCCTAATCTCATTTCTTATTTTTAAAAACGTGGACATTAGGATTCTCTCCTGAATCGTGGTTGCTTCAAATATTCATAAACTACAGATAATTCAAATTGGAGTGTCTGTTTGTAATATTGACATAACCGCTTATTACTGTTGCGGAGAACCTAACGAGTTACCGGGGCTCTGGCTCGACGTGCAGGAGAAGGAACGGGGTGGTTTTTAGTCAGTAAGAGTCTGACACTCCCTCCCGCCTCACCCAGGCGGGAGCAGTCATTCGATGATTTTCCCTCCTTAAAAAACCACTTATTACTACATGCATATATGATCATACTTTACCTATAATAGGTATAGTTACCAAAGTAACACTTTATATATTTGTTTGTCTGTCTTTCTGTTTCTACTGGCTTATCTCGGAAATGGCGGGACTGATTTTGACGGCACTTTTATTGATAAGTAGCTAAACAAATAAACATGTACTAAGGAGTAACATTAGGCTACTATTATTTTAGAAAAACGCAGATGGAGTCGCGAGTTCAGGTATACATGATATCAAATTCAGACTTAGAACAATAACGATCTTATGCTTACCCTACGATGTGACAAGATATATAGGTATGCAAAAATAATACGTACTAAAGATACTAATTGGAGTTATATTTGCCTATCCTAATGGAAAACACAGGTACATGTGGATATGCGTATTAATAAATATGAATTAACTAAATGCATATTTATGTGTACACCTGTGCATGTAGCTCTCCCTAGGGTATGCCATAGCTCAAAGGCGTTGCGCAGTCTAGACTCCACAGCTGCTCTATTCAGAGGACCCAGTTCTTCTTAAAGGTCACTGGTCACAGGACAGGTTGATGTTTCTGCCAAAAATTAGACAACTTTTGAAGATTTCCCTCTAAAATTAAAAAAAGTTACATTATATTATGTCCTATTTACACTTAAAACGCCTAATCTAAACTGCGTATCGTACGTTAATTCATAAGCAAAACACAGAAATGTGCCCTGAAGCGTTATGCGTGGAGAGTAGCAAAGTTGTTTCCGTGCAAGAATCGAACCAGTGACGCGGAGCGACTGGCCAATTGTACCAGTGGGCCAACCGAACCGCCATTATTGTTATGTAGCAATGTAATTTTGCAATCGTAAGTACATACATATGAATACAGTTATGGAGTGTCTTCACACTAGCCCTTAATAACGACGCTATCGAACATAAATCATCCTTGAAAGGCTTCAGACAGTTATTAGTTCATAGTCCATTCAAAACATTGTGATATCGACAGCTGCTACAGTGTCAATAGTTGTTAAGGCGATCTTTTTAACATAGGACTAACAAAGAACGTCCAAGAGAAGAAGATATGTTTTAAACGTTGCCCCACACTAGTATTTTCGTGGGTGCGTTTAAAAACATACGATTTAATATACACATGACACCCAGCATTTAGGTATGGCCAATCGGTCCGTCCATCCCCAATTCCCAATCTTGAAATCCCCAAAAGAATAGCAACGCACTTGTAAAACCTCTGGATTTGCGGGTGCCGCCAATTTGCTTACCATCAGGTGACTCTCATTTACCGGCCTTAGTCTATTAAATAATCACATTATTAAGAACTCCATACGATTTACAAAACATTAGGTTATTAGTGAATCCGAATCGTTAAACATCTGAATTATCTTACTAATACATGTATGTATGTTATTCTTTCACTTCAAAACGGCTGAAGCCATCGGGATGAAATTCGGAACAAGGGTAGATTGTGCTCTGGAATATATCATAGGCTACTTTGTATCCCACGGGAACGCTTATTAAAAAAATAATTTAAGATTAATTTATTTCGTTTCTACAACAGACTACTCGATCACGGCGGACTCGCAGATCTGTGTGATAGCAGCCGGCGTGAGACAGATGGAAGGAGAGGACAGGCGCAACCTGGTGCAGAGGAACGTGGAAGTCCTCAAGGGAATCGTTCCTCAAGTAAGTAAATACTCACAGGCATCTCTCGCTGATTAGGCTAAATACTGAAGAAAATTATACCAGTTTGGATAGTCATAAATCGATTTGTAATATCTGTTGTGCCTATGGGGTTTGCTAGCATGTGACATTTTATTTTATACCATTTTATATCTAAAATATTTACTAGGAGTAGCATACAAAATTGCTTACTCTCAGAACTTATTTTTACGCCTTGCGTTTGGAGAAGTTATAAGTCTCAATACCTGGATAACATAAGACACGCCTATTTATCAGACACCTTCAACAGTTCTCCACTCCAAATAAACACTTAGTTCAAAGGATTCGTTCATTGTACACACTGACAAAGGATACATTTTTTTCCTAACATTCTTATATTTTTTTCCTTCACAGCTCCTGAAATACAGTCCAAACACGATCTTCTTGATCACCAGCAACCCAGTGGATGTCCTGACCTACGTGACCTGGAAGATCAGTGGCCTGCCCAAGCACCGTGTGATCGGCTCGGGAACAAACCTCGACTCTGCGAGGTTCCGTTATCTGCTCTCGCAGAAACTGAACATTGCGCCTACATCCTGCCATGCGTATATTATTGGGGAGCACGGTGACAGTAGCGGTATGTGCCTTCGCCTAATATATAATAATATCCTTAAAACAAGTACAACTCAATTTTCTCAACTTACTGGAGTCATGTTATAAGTCCCATGTAAGTGGGAATGTGAAACGGTTCCTAGATTCTGAACTATTACTGAAACCGATAATTCCCTAATAATTATTTGCGCATCCCTCCTTGGGCGATTATATTTTGTGACGAATGTGTCAGTGATACCTTCGCCGTGACCATGTTACCTACTCGTAATTTTTTTTAAAAAACCTTTGCCCCACACTAGGATTATCTCCTGTGTCGTGGGTGCGTTTACAAACATACAACTTCACATACACAATGACACCCAGACCCGAAACAACAATTTGTGGATCACACAAAGTGTTGTTCCGTGCGGGAATCGAACCCGCGACACGTTGCACGGCAGGCGGTTGCCCAGCCACCGCACCAACCGTGCAGACACGTAATCACGGAAACGTATTTCAAGATAAATGCATCCTTCTTCGGTGTATCAATGGGGGGCTCCAGACCCCCAGGTTCAGTTAATAAAAAAGCTATAACACGCATTTGTACCAATCAGAATTAACAAGCAACACAGAGGATAATAAAGCGGATTTCTATTTTCTCTCGTCCCCCACAGTACGTCGTATTATTTACTGAGCACCTCTGTTCTTCGTAAAATAATCTTATAGGTAAGCATAACTGCAAAGCCATTATAAATATTGCCAGCATTAAATTCATCAATATTCTTCCCACAGTACCGGTCTGGTCAAGCGTGAACATCGCAGGCGTGCGTCTCCGGGACCTGAACAAGAACATTGGCTTGGACTGTGACGAGGAGAACTGGAAAGAGACACACACCCAGGTGGTGCAGAGTGCGTACGAAGTCATCAAGCTGAAGGGCTATACCTCCTGGGCCATCGGACTGTCCCTCACTCAATTGATTAAAGCTATCCTCACTAACGTAGCCAGTGTTCATGCTGTTACTACTTCTTTAAAGGTAATGTTCTAAATTTTACCCTTTTTGCTAATTACTTGACTGATTACGTTACTACGGTTCTTTTTGTATAGGAGTCGTTATTGGGCCAGTTTGACTGAAGACCACTAAAGTAACCACGGCCTTTTCTTGATGATCACAACCATGATCTGTTTAGTAGTTTTACATACGGAATTCGAAATTCCAATTAATTAAATTATTATTCTAAAGGTATACTTACACGTTCAAATCGGCCATTGAACTAACCTGAACATACATAAGTCGTTGCTCCAAACATATAAAATATGTAATTTATTTTCAGAAATAAATTAAGATTTCAAAGAAAAATGAATTTTTAAATATCTGCGAATGACCTCATATTACTTCAGATACAGATATCAAAGAATGTTATTTGTTATTGCGACGCAACAATATTTTAAAATTTCGTTTAATTGGCAACTTGCCTAAAGCTGTAAAATGTTTAATACTCAATTTGTTTTCATTTGCCTCGTAACTGCAACGCAGAGCGACTGGGAATTCCCATAATGAGGATGATTCCATCAAATTATACTAGTCTTGTCATAATTTTATAACTTTTATGATAAGTTTGTCAAACAAATTATGTGACTAGAATGTGTGATCATATTTTTACTGCTTATTACTATTTTGTTGTGCAGCTAACAGATTTTCGTATCGACCCCAGCACATGATTGTCTCATGCCGGAATACTGAAACGTTACTCAATTTTAAGTCGTGCTCAAATATCGTGCCATCTCTGTCATTTTACAAAGTATTTGTAGAGATAGAACTATACTTAAGCACGACTTAAAATTGAGTAGCGTTTCAGTATTCCGACATCAGTGTCTTATCGTTTGAAATTAATAGTCGACCTCCATCCAAAATCTCTGGATTGAGACCGATTTTTGACATTTACTTGTTTACTGTTTCTGTCATAAACTTAGAACGATCCAGAGTTCTTGGACGAAGTTTGTTCAAAAAACCAATTCTTAATCGTATTATTTAGCAAAAAAGTTGTAATCTATCAAAGAATATGGTTTCAGAGTTATTCTCCAAAGATTAAGGCAAGAAATAATGGTCAGTTTAAGATATTTTTCTATTTTCCAGGGTGAACATGGCATCACAGAAGACGTATTCCTCTCGCTGCCGTGTGTGCTCGGCCGCAATGGTATCCTCGATGTCATCCGCCAGCCTTTGACCGACGTAGAGAGAGAGCAATTGTTACAATCAGCTAAAGTCATGGCAGACGTTCAGTCCAATATCAAGTTCTAAAGCAATACAATAATAATTTATTTTTTATTTATTTATATAATGAACATTACGTCTTTACCGGCACACCTAAATTATGATAAATGCAATTTCCAGTAACTAATTTACCAATTTTTCTCTAAATTATTTGTAAATAGGTACCTAATTTAAATATACAAAAATGCTTAAAAAACTTGAAGAAACCAAAACAAATTAAGTACATCTACTTATAAAACATAAATAACATTGAATAATTAATAATCGGAACTAAAGTATCATTTAAACTTAACGAAACTGTATAAAAAAGTAATACAATGAAATAAAGTACAAAATAATAGGAACTTATTTTTTCATTATGTTAGACAATTTTTACTATATTATAGTAGACTTGTAGCCTCTTTTTATTGCATTAATCCTTTTTGTATTAGTCACGTCTATCTATTTGTTGCCCATACTACCTCTCTCTATTCACTACTACAGTCGTCAAATAAAAGGTCGGCTACTGTTTTTGACCGAGTAATAAGTCAAATCGAGTTACAATTTGAATTTGTACTCACTGGATCAGATCAATAATAACTCTATCATTTCCTAAATAGCATGAGACTGTAGAACGTTGACGAATCAATGACATCAAGACAAAAAGGTTTTTCAAAGACCCAGACCTTTGCCTACTACATTACCAAAGGTCGATGTGTATGTTAAATTAAAACAAAAAATACGGTTCGATTTTGGTATTTCATCTTTAAATATTTTATAATACCTAAGAGTCCTACGAGTACTTATACAAAACTATCCGAATAACCGATTTTTAAAGTATATAAATTATAGTCCATACAAAATGAGAGGTCAACTCTGACCTGACATTTGTTAGGAAGGTACCGCTATAACTTATAACTAAATGATTTTACTGATTCTGGGATTTTGGGTAATCTCCTAAGCATTATGCTTATAAATGATATTCTTTTTGAACGTGTATGTAATATAATAATCAATATTATGAATATTTTTATTTTTACGTTACAGTACGTTCATAACAAGTTATAGCAGTACCTAGTTAGTAATGTTAGAGTTGACTCTTATTTTGTGACGACTGTAACAACCTCTAATAAGATGTGTGATAGAAAAATATTTGCATTTATATATTTTCGGTAAATGAAAAAAAAATAGGATTTTGGGCTAAGGTCATAGGTTCCTACACACTACGCTGATGACACAGCGGGTATAGCCTGTGGGAACCATGCAATGAGGGTTATGATTTAGGAGTAACTGTAGTTGGCGCCACTGTCAATGAAAGTCGTGACAATCGCCGTAATAACGTTAAAAAGGTTAAGAATAAAAGGACAGTAGGTAATCCATAATATAGAAAAGAGATCATAATCTACAGTAGTGCCCTCTAGTGGCATCATAACCCTCATTCAAAAATATTTGACACGTCTTTTTAAATGTGTATTTACTCTTGTCTGCATTTGAAATTATAGATGTCGTGTTGTCCTTGTGTATCAAAATTAAATCAAAATATTTAAGATTTTAATTCAATGTTACATATTTATATTAATAATAGTGAAAAGTACTTATAGATAAATTATATGAATACAGTTTCACCTCATTCAAGCCGAAGCAATTACTTAGTTGGTGCTAGAATAGTTTCAATGAATCCAGTATTAATTACTTAATACAAAGATATTTTAAGGAGTTAAAGTTTGTTTAACACGTTCACTGCCACCACAATTTTTTTGAAGTTCATAGCGATGCCACCCTATAAAGCCACGTGGACACGCCAGGCGTGTCGGCGGCACTGCATCTTGTTAAACATGGACACGCTAGGCGTGTCCAGTGGCACCTCGATGGAGTTAAATTCTAAATCTGTTTTTTTTCGGTTTAGCGATGAGTATTAGTTAGTTTGTCAATCGCTGAGCAAGAATACAGGTGATTTGAAATACGGTAGTGAGAATTTACCTGGAATTATGGCTGAAAATAGAAGTTTAGGTAAGTAATTTTCGTAATTTTGTAAGAGATCATAAACATTTTGTGGTTGTTTTGAAATATTTCATAATATTAACTTAGATAAGTCAATTATTACAAGTTTACGGAACGATACCTATTTTAGTTGAAGATAGCATACTTATTTAACAACAATAACAAAATGTTTCATAAAATACTTATGTTTGCCATAATTTTCTCCCCTATACTTTTATTTCATTAAATATGAATTGCCAAAAACTACAAAAAAATGGGGGTAAGGGAGGCCGAAACCGAAATACATGCAGCCGGCTGCATGGCTGCGAGTAACAGAATAAATGAAAATAGCAAATAAATATTATGAGCGGGGACGATTATGGAAAACAGTATTAATACAAATGATGTTTTGGCAAACAAAACATTACTCTCCTAAATGGTAATTTATTTAATAAAACGATTTTTAAACGGCTTAACTCGCGTATATTCCTTTCGTTTCAGTGTTCGCGGTCGCAAGCAGACCACGATCCCTGAAAAAATTTCGCAACGATTTTTATGTCTAGTGCTCGCGCAAACCTAAGACATTATTATGGTAATTTATATACTTAATCGTAATACCTAGTATATAATATTTGTTTTACTGCAGATAATTATCTTCATATTTTATTGATTTTTGTTCAAAGGTTGACAACTCCTTAAAATGGACACGCCTGGCGGGTTCTCGGCATTACATAATCACTTTAAAAAAATATATATTTTTTAAGAGATTTTTCTGGGGGCCACCTCAAAAATCATTAGGTTATTGCTAGCGAATTATGTACTGAGAATTCCAAAAGGCAATTTTGGCTAATTTTCGAAATATCACTGAAACATTTAGGACACGCCTGGCGTGTTCGAGGCGTAGTTATAGAAATTCGTAAGAACACGCTTGGCGTGTCGGCGGCATTGAACGTGTTAAA